TCCTGGTAATTGCGGGCATAATAATTTGTACCTACATTCTTAGGGAGGACTGCCACCGTATATAGCTGTTATTTTGAGAAAGAGAGAAAAAAAGAGATTCATAATTCATGTGGTGTTTTTATTTTATATGCAACCTTTTTTTATATAATTGAAATGCCAAATAACCCGAAGACCCTCACCTTGAGGGCAAGGGGTAACCGTTTTCTATGAACATATACCTACTATACATAGTAAAATATAATATTGTCTTATCTATGGTTAAAAAAAAAATTGCACATTTTTAGAAGTTTTCAGTGTTACAAGTAAGTTAATATACTACATATTATTAATATAATAACAAGCAGAAATTTATATTTCATATTGCTGCAGTTGTCATGATTTTATAAAACAGAATTTTCTTATACAAGTAATGGCAATTACATAAGAATAATTGTTATTACAATATTTTATTCTGTACCAAAATGTCACATGTATAATTTTAATATATAGGAGTTTGCTTTTGTAAAGTCGAAGTGAAATGGATGCTATATCCTTATTTATGGGCAAGTATTGATACACAAATATACATTATGCTTTTATCGTGGTCGTTCGGCCGGCCTCGATAAGGTAGTGGTTTAGTAAATCATCTGACTTCCGATGGTTATGAGTTCTATTCTCGCATGATACAATTTTGTGTAATATGTATGATTGCTTGTAGTAGTCTGGGTGTATTATATACATATTATTTATGTATTTACAAAAAATGTATTTAAGTGTATCTATCATTTGTCTAATATACATAATACATGCTCTGGTTAGCTTGGCACTAGATGACACTGTGTAAATTTTCCCAGGTTATTTATTATTACATTGTCTAAAAGAGTAACTCCAGTAGACATTTGCATCCGTATTTGTCATCTAATCTATTGCATAATCTATTTTATTAATAAATATATAAAGAAGACTTTATATGCACACAATCTGAAGTATTTAAATTATCTATATCTGTTTATATGTGTAGGTCTACACCTACTCACACGGTTTCCGTGACGTGGCGTAATTGACTTATCTAAGGGCGGTATTTCACCCGCACATAACTTACCCAGAAAGCTTTTACTTCAAATACACAATATGTAAATGATTCAAGTCCATGCATTAAGTAGACCACTAAAACAAAAACAGGTCGTTGCTTACCTTCCTACAGGTATTATCTAAATGTGTAATTTCATATAAATATTTCTTAATAAATGGGTTAAAAATAGATTTAAATAAAATTTAGTATACAGAATGATCATATTATTAATTGACATAGAATTTTTTATGTTTTAATTCACGAAGCGGTATTATAGGATATACTTAGTAAAAATATCTTTACTCATTTTAGACGAATTACTGAGCTAACTGTAGCATATTTTATACTGACGAGTAGTATAGGATATGTTAAATATAGATATAAATATATTTTAATTACACGTTACAATCATTGTGACGTAATAATTGAAATAAATATGTCAGTAAAAAAGCAACCATATAGCAATTCTTTTGATAACAAACAAAAATAATGATAATTGATTTAATATTGTCAATCCGTAAAATAACTTCATATTAACCTTCATTCTTATTGTCTGGTACTGGATAATCAGAAATGTATTTATATTCTAAATTTCTATTTAAATATATCTTTTATAGTTACAGGTTTGTTTATACTTCACTGTCTTGACAATCGTTCATAATATATCTCTGTATTTCTAGCCTCTTTCTTCTATTTTATTTTCACCTAAAGATATATAAAATAAAACGATAGAAATATTTATGCATTTTTAAATTACATTAAATTTTATTTGATACTAAATATGATTATTACCTAATATGAACAGTACCTACTACCTAATACAAACACAATATAGCAGTTAAATCAAAATATCTTTATTTATATGTCTATTACAGACATTCAATAACAAATCTATCGACAGTTCCGTATATTGCTAGAGTCGAGAACAATTGAAAGCAAAACTTCACTCTTATTGTTTTAATGTATATAACGTTTAAATTTAATATGAATATTTCGCAAATATAGATTAGTATAAATAATTACTATCGTTAAGTAATGTTCAAAATCCTTATAAATTTTTAAAATTAGAGGTAGAGTGTAAAAAGTTCTATACGTCAGTCTCAGCTATTTCAGCTGCCAATCAGCTTGCTTTGTAAGCTATGTTTCGGTTATAGAGTCATATTAGGTAGCGAAATTACAGCATATATATATATATATATATATATATATATATATATATATATATATATATATATATATATATATATATATATATATATCTTAGTCTTTTGGAAACCGATGTCACATGATACCGTAATGGCCATAGTGCTCTTAATGGGTATAGGTGATGTTTACAGCTTACCATCAAGTACGCAGTGGCGTCAGCTTGTTTGCCATCGCAATTACATTAAAAAAGAAACATTATTTGTTACCCTACCTACAGGAGTTTAATTAAAGTAAACCACCATACATGTCGAGTAATCACCGCACAGCAACGACCGATCCCAACGACCTACCAAAGATGTAATTGAGACGTAATTTTAATTACACACTCTTTATTACGCGATACCACGAATACATGGAATTTATCATAATATAATTATATCTTCATAATTATCACTGTGTATTTTAATAAATATATTTTTTTATAATTCAGTTTTGAAAAGGTATGCGTATTTTATAATGACTGATTGTTTGTTCATTAGAATCATCCAACATCTTAATTTACTTCGAAATTTTAATTATTTTGAATTCTGTTATCATAATTAACAAGTTTAGATACAAGTACGAAAACTTTAGAACAAGAAAATCGGTTCATAATTGGCGAAATTGTAATAACTTGTGTTTATTATTATTATAGCCTACAATCAGATCAAATTAACCTAATAACCCTGCTTCACAAATAAATATTAAACTTTGATAAATCAAATACAAAATTACTTATTGCAGTAAGATGCAATTATCTTATTTATTTTCTGTAGTTCTGTTTTTAATCTGCAAAAACCTCCTCCAATTGCCATTGTCGTCTTTCTTGATCCACTCTATACCAGTGTTTAGTTATTTCAACAAATAATATACGCATTAATATTATAAGTAAACAGAGAATCTATATCTGTTGATCGCAAACATGATCTTTTTACAGTATGTTCCCAAAACTTCCACGGGTCCAGGAATCTAGCAGTTTAGCACTTCACACCATTTAACATCGTTTTACTTCCGATGAATCCATCCCCCCAAATTCTCTCACGATACAAAAATTCGTATTAATGAGCATGATTGTTTTTATTTATTTATATCTGTTCGTTATTTCCCATAGTACCTTGTTTAGTTTGGAACTAGATGGTGCTGAGTCCGTTAGTACCCAGATCGTAGATTCTAAATACTATTTAAAAATAAACCAAGAGATCATATTAAGCAAAATATTATTAATTTTATTAAACAGTCTATATCCATATGTAGATAAGACAGACGAAAACGTTTTTAAATACAATTTTTATCTATGCTATGCTAATATATCTATGTTAATAACGTCACGAATCACGTCACTCGTGTAACTTTGAATTTCGCTAGACGTATTTGATTATGAATTAATTTGACCAACCAACGTGACCTCTGGCTGGCAGCATCTTTTGAATAATGATGAATGTATAGTGAAGCCTGATTGTCGACAACAAAGACCTTAATATTCTGGACATTAATAATTTTCTCTCATGACGCATGATGGGTTTTTACATTAGTATTTTTTACTGTTTATAATATGCAGATATTACAATTCTATTATATATGAATGTAATATTTAAATAATTAGCGAGTAATCCTTGACCTGAAAATTTAAAGTGTCTATCTGGAAATTTATTCATAATTGTAAATTTTCTTTTTACTGGTGCCCCGCCAGCGTAATTGCAATACCAGATAAACAAAAAAAAAAAAAGGCCTACCTGAGGGGGAAAGGGATTGTTAGTAATGTGGACCATATTAGGTTGACCTCCACGCGGTTCCCCCTGGAAACCATAATGATAAATTCCTAGTGAATTAGTCTCAACGTGTTAACTGTTCTGATCTAATGTTCTTCTTATCATCCTCCACTAGTGTCCTCCCAGCGTACACCGTACAGATAGAGGAACTGTTCCATTATCAACCATTAAAAAAATTACATTATTGTCATCATCGGATATTAATATAACGGAGATCTACTTCCTTTGTATATATGTATATGAATAAAAAAGATTCACCCAAAATGACTGTTTTAACATCAAGTTCATTTTGATGTTTTTGAATACACGTGTATAATTTTAATATTAAACAGTCAATTAAACAAATTGATGAATACATTCCGGTTGGCCGTTTACTTTTTACTGCCTAACTAGTTATGAGGTCAATTACCTTATGTATGCCAGTATTAAATTATACTTATACAGTTTTTATATATGTACATTATATGTAATATACCAACACAATTACATATATTTCATTTTATTGTTAATAATTATTGTTAATGAATATATTGGTTAATGTACATATAAACTTTTAGAATAATTTATTAGATACTATTTATTATTATTACCTATGGGAAATCATAATGCAAAATTTCATGTAAAATCAGGACTAAAAATATAAAAACAGGTTTTAATATACTTATTAAACTATTGAGAAAAACATAAAATTAAAAATTAAAGTATGTTATTGCAAAATTAATCAAAGTTGTCAATATACGTAATAACATATAAATAATACTGATTTCTGGGAATTATTTATGTGAGATAATCAATAAATACGTTATTATTTTTGAAAACAATTTTATTACGTGTACTTATAAAGTTAGGAACTTGATATATGCTGCCAATACCTACAAATTAAAAAAAAAAACAATATGATGTAGGTAATTAAAAAAAAAATATTTCTCGTTCCTCTCACGACACGCCTCAGCTATTCGAGACAGTCGACATTTTAAATTTCAAATCCAAGTTTCTTATTTTTTCTTTTATTTGTCAATAAATGTATTTGGCTTTTGTGGCCATGTTTGTGGCTGTCTTCTCATAGCGTCGTATTGTTGCCAGTTTAAATACCAAAAAGGTCTGTTATCTATTGGCACGCTTTCAAGTCTGTTTATCAGATTCCTGTCTCCTTTGGCTTGTATAGGTAAGGGTGCATCTTCACCAAATCTATTTGAAAGCTGTACAGATTCATTCTCCAATTGTGGATAACCTATGGCTCCTGATCCGGCGTAAAATGGTCGTTGTGCGTTTATCATAACGATTATGGCTGCCAGGGTCAAAGCAATTTTGCACACTGCCATTTTATCTGTAATAAATGAGAATGACAATAAGTATGCATGTTAAACAAATACCAACAATGCTTGCAAAATGTTACCTATATTCACTTAAAATTGATGTTGTAGAGTACCTATAGGTAATAGTATATTTTGTAATTTATGTACTGTTATAGTAGCATTATTTACATCGCATAGATGGAGACAACGTTTAGTGTTATTTATTACTATAAATTATTACAATCTATTATTTAATGTTTCTAAGGGAGTTGTCAAACATATATTACAGATTATTAAAATATTTAATAAATGAACATTAACACCGTTTAATAGTTTAAATACCATGTAGGTACACATTATATTTTAATGATTATTGTTCATTTTCAATAAATACTGTTAACTGACTTAAAAATGAGAAGAATTCTCAATCACAAGCAAGCATACTAAAAACTATAAGGATATGCATATCTACTAATATTATATAGAGGAAAGATTTGTTTGTTTACATTATATAGGCTCCGAAACAACTGGACCGATTTCAAAATTCTTTTACCATTAGAATCGTACGTTATCATTGATGAATACAGGCGATACTTTATTGAAAAACAGGAGAAATTAGGGATTCGTGTAATAACTTATATCGCATACGTTGCGGAAATTATTAACAAAAGAACAATGTGATGTTCTACAGGTTTATCGTGGACATAAAAATTGAATTTTTGTCAAATATACGGGCGAAACCGAGGCGGACCTTTCGTAATATATAAAATTATTACAATTTTAATGATGAAAATATGTTGATGATTAATGAAAATATAATTAAAGACTTACCTTAATTTAATAATACACGATTCTTGCCAGTTTATTGAATGTATCGCGAGTGTACGTAGTGTTGGTTGCACTCCGACTGCATGTTTATGTTCGCGGTTGTGTCTATAAATATCAACAGACCGCGGTGCCATGGAGGCCACAGAGATAACAGTTCTTAGAACGGGAATAAACATTTTATTTCTACATCTTTTATTTTATTTCGTTTCCGATTTAATCATTATCTATTTATAGTTTATCAGTATGTTTACATATTTACACATAATTCTAATGAAATCGCGATATTAAAACTGTCTATTTATTAAGGTTCCACGTAAATATATTATAAACATCTCAAGAAAGTGTTATTAAATTTTCACAGAATATTTTATTAAATGTGGTCAACGTTTAGGCTACAGAAAAATGTCCTCCAAAGAAATATTGATAGATTAGTATTTTATTCTGAATACACCATCTACAATTGTTAATTGAAATATAAATAAAATAATAGATAGAGTCTACAAATGTAGTGCCACACGCACACAGTCGCGGGTTCGATTAGTTCAATATAGCGTTACTTCATTTATTTCATTTATTTACGTATTAGGTGTAAAACTTTATATATATAAAAGTCTGCTGTTTGTTGCTGTGCGATAAATTCTTTAATTAGTTTACGATTATACATTTTTGCTTTAATATTTAATGAAAAGTGCAGACACTCCTAGAAAGTTAATTTTAGTTAATTTGTTTTTCTTTTTTATATTGAGTACTAAAGATATAAAACAAAATAACATCTATTGATATTTTTTTTTAATCCCTTTCACTCGTTGACGCTTTCTTTTAATCCTATTCACATTTCTTCAATAATTGCGTTCAAATCTATTGAAATTTAGGAACGACTTTCTTTTGAGTGTTACTACAAATACAAAACAAATTAATGTCTATACATTCGTAAGCATACGTAAAAACCCATTCAAACCCTGTTACATAGAAACACTTGTCTAACGAGTCGCGAATGGCATCACAAAAACCAGCCTAACAACACCTCTCAATACGTTATTAATTTCCTTTCCACTAAAGAATTTTATGTGCACGAGCGGACGGATAGAGCTCTTAGTTAATGGTTGTTTGTACATATGCATTCTCAGATTTGAAAGCGTCATTTGAGTCATGATGACGTATGAGGTTTTCGTGTTTACGACACGCTCAGAGGTGTGTCTACTGAATGGGTTTTTAACAGATCATCAATGCAGATATCAGTAAATAACTAAAATACAATGAATCATGGCTCATCGTAAAATGAATATGGGGAAATAACAACGTAAACATTAAACAAAATTAAGACGATGAATTTGCAATTTATCTCTTTAACTAAATATATGTACTTTAAATTAACGCTAATATAACATCCTATTAGTATTATAAATGTAAAAGTTTGTGAGTATGAATGGAATTTTCTTATAATTTACGAACGCAGTGGTCTAGCGGTTTAGCATAGCGTCTTACTTCTGATGGTCTCAAGTTTAATTCATTATATGGAAGATAAAAGTTATTGTTATTATATTATTCTATCACACCAAAATTACTGGATGTATTCGTACGAAATATGGTATAAGAGCACATCATATTGTAGAATACCACATTATTAGGATACTTTTGTCTGATTTCTTGCGAGCAAAGCCTTGGAATACAGCTAGTAGAATATATAGGTAACTATAATATTGTGATGATGTAACCTAATCGAACCACTAGTTTAATCCTAGTTTTTTTACTAACGGCTATAAGGTCAGCCGATAAGGAAATAATAAACCTAAATATAAAAAAATAATGATTTATCTTAAATAACTCTAAAATAAATTACGAATAACAGAAATTTTAATAGTTTATGGACGTTAAAATTCTGAAGAATATTTTGAAATGAAGATTGTGATAAATTGTGATATATTTATTCTACTATTATGTATGCAAAAGTGGCTCTATATGTTTTTTGATAAATATTTCACAGCTAAACAACAAAATGAAATGTGACATGTACATAGATGTATAATGTATTACGAGGATTAAAATAGGCTTTTATTTTTATCTACTCAATAAAAGTAGTTGTAATTTTGTGTAATATAGTTTTTTATAAATAATAAATTCGGTATTTTATGACAGTTTTTCGTAATATCCCAATAACAACAGTATTTAAAATTAGACTGAGAAGGACACTTTCATGTCTACTATGTAATATGAACAAAATAATGATGTAACATAAACAAACTATATAATCGTTATTAAAATACAGTTATTTGGGTTTGATAACCACTTAAGTCGATCAAAAAGGTTTTCGGAGCAAATTAGAGATATATTTTAAATAGGTACGATAGATACGAAATACTGTCATTTTTATGTGTGTAATATAAATTCCAAATAAATAGACAGCGCACTTTATTGTAAAGGATAATTGCTGTCTGTACATAAGACCTATGGACATTACGTTATCTTGTGACGCCACTCATGACTAAGATGTTTTATCCTGTAGTTTCACTGCTTAATCTCACTCTACAACTGACATAAGGCTTACAAAGTATTTTATTTATAAAGCAAAGGATGCTTTGCCACTAAAATACGTGAGTGTTACTATTGGTAACCACGCAAATGACTTTGTACAAAGTCTACGTAAGTAACCAGGTAATAATAGAAAAACAGCACACTGAGTGCTTAATATAATCTCCCCTTATATCAATCTCCTATAATCATATAATTGAAAATATTTGTTTAGTTAGACTTCCTTATCATTACAATATAAAACGAATGACGCAAATATTTTTGAAAAACAAAAGTTCTTTGAGATTTAGCGGGAAGTTGGTATTTAAAATTACCAAGAACGGCAACGCATAAAAAATGCATAGCGAAACGAGAAAAGAAGTTTAATGGAATCTAAAAGCCTTCTTCATATATATATTTGAGAATTTTCGGACGAACAACAATGCAATAGAGACGCATTACCACATAAATAAATAAGGGCGTCTAAAAACGCAAGTTTGCACGCAATATGGAGGATAATAAATTCGTATAACTCGCCAATGAAAATGTACTCGTCCATTAATATTACGCTCTCAACTGGAGATCTATTATACTCTACGCGTTCTACAAAGCAAATTCTTTTGTAATTTGTGTAAAGCGACGCCCATCAGTGGCCTTCCTCTAGAGAATCTTCATACAAAATGGAATTTGTTCTATATATTCTAGAGATAAATAAAATCATGAAATATAATTAATTATTTCATGATTTTATTTATCTCTGTACTTATAAAAAGTGATTGTTCGTTGTATGACTCTTTGAGTTTGTGATACCACTATTCATAGAATAGAATTGAATGTAATATAAAAATCTTTATTTAATATTTAACTTTTGAATACTACTTAATATTAAGAAAAGTGTATCCATTTGTTCGTTTCTTACGTTATTACGATTACACGAATCAAGTAATTCGACATGAATCTTCATGTCAAAATTTTAAATAGGTATGTATATACGGACGGACATATAGATATAGCCTACTATATTATTTGATATAAAAATAATAAATTAGCAGGGTAAAATAGGGGATCAAAGTTTGTACAAAAGATGTAGCGAGTTATTGTAGTCTTTATTATAGATACGAAAGCGTGTCTGTCCATCTTATGTTTTCCCGACTACATTGCTGAATTAGGATTGGCCTAACGATATTCGACATCAAAATAAATTGTACCACGAGGACGGGCATAGGCTACTTTATATAAAAAAAAACAGTCGCGGGGAACATCATCTTAAAAACCATTTTTAATAAAAAATATATGTGTTTGAAATCTCTCTCACTATCCAGTCTAGGATAATACCCATACAGATACATGTTTGTTTACTTTTATGTATACCTAGGTAGATGTTACCTAGACATTATACAGTTGAAGTACACAAAGCCACTATTTTCCTAGTCATGACACATGCTATCCTAGTATTCGCTCATGCGGTTCCTAACCACATAAACCGCTTAATATAAAACTAATTCTTGACTGCGACACTTGAGCGTCGATATACATTCATAGAAAAGTACATCTAAAGATCGAAATGCTACATTTAACTAAGTAGATAACTATATTTGAACTGGGCTAATAAAATGCTACTTAAACATACAAATTATTTATACATTTGAGACTTTGGAAAATTCTTTTCAATCAATCATTTGGTTTTTGTCGAATAAAAAGAAAATCATCTGAACGAGCCCAGTATTGTCAAAAAATAACGGTAACCAAATATACAATCAAATAAATGATTGAAAGCGATTGAAATTGCTTCGATTCTCTGACATTGCAAACTAACACAAAAGCTTCAAACTTTTCGAACACTTCAAATATTGAGTAACATGTATGTTCCTACATCTGTACTTCATACTAATACTTAATGTTAATGCTAAAATGTGTTCGTGTATTTGTTACAATTTCGCAGCGAAACGGTTATGGATCTTAATGAAATTTAGTATTAAGATATGTGAATGAATTCTACCACGAGGACGAAAATACGGAATATATTATCTAGCTAGTTTATAATAGGGAAAATGAATTTTGTGATGATGATAGAAAAATCACCAAATCACAAAGTGACACAGTTACATTATTTGTTAAGCTAACACATAACTCTCAAAGTGCTCACACACTCGGCCGAAGTCAGGACACGCTGCTTGACCAATATTCACACATTAATTGATTGTTTTTAAACAGAAATAAAAAGTTTTTTATTGGACTTGTAAAATAAATTCCGCTAAAAACATGTGGTAACCTTATGAATATTCTTCTAATCACAATGATATCAGAATTATTTTTGTTGTCATATCGACTTCTACATGGACCAAGTCGCTAGTACAGCTAGTAAGATGAAATAAAAAGAAATTTAATGATTCATCATTACATAGTAATCATTCCAGTTTAAGTCATTCTAGGTAATTCATAATGTCGTAACTATCTACTATTGTTTCAGTAGTTTCATGGGAAATGCATTCTGCAATATTAAGCGGATATTGCATGCGGTTTCTCTTTGAAACCGCAGAGCTGAATGCAAAATTGTCATTATCTGTAAGAAGTTCTATTGTATTTTCTTTAGTCTACTCTTATAATTATTCTGTAGAATTTTCATTAAAACTACAAAGAGTTGGAATTTATTTAAAACATTCATTTAAAATGATATTTTCATGTTTTTAAATTACATGTGTAAAAGTGACTTTGGACTATAGAACGATGTCTTTATTACATTTTGTTATTGAGTTTGATGAATTTAAAAATGCTAGTGTTATATTTTAAATTGGATCGATAAAGGTTCAATCATATTGCTGCCTGCGTACTGGCCTCATAGTTTTATACTTCATAGTTATATTGTATTTTGTATTAACAATTTTATTATTTTTGTGCAACGAACACAGTTTAATAGAGAATTTTAACAGACAACTCCATATATATCTCAAATAATTATTAAAAATAAGTAGTAATGAGTTGCAAACTCACTGACTCACGATAGACTTTATATTTTATAATTTATAAATTTGCCATAATTTAAATTTACAATAATCATATTACCATTCTATTCGTTATTTTTTTTCGATTGAGTACGTATTTAATGACGTAAATAATAAAAAGGATAATAAATAATACGAAATTATCATAATAAATAGAAAGGATAAGAGATCCTTTCTATTTTCGAGAGATCCCTCTGTTCTACAAGTAATTTCACATGATATGAATGCCTTAATAATATCAAGCTTATATTACTTCAACTTTGACACGTATTTGAAGAATTTCTTTGTGTTATTAAACAGTAATGGAAATATACTGATGTTATTATAGTTATATTAAGTTAAGCTAACTCAACTACAAAAGCATTTTAATTAGAATATCTGTTTGGTATTCAACTAACAAATGCCTTCGCGTTCTCCCACTATAACTTGGATAATCAAATTGAAAATACAATTATTACAGGCGTATGTAATATTATAGATATTTATTTATGTGTAGTGTTGAAATTACATATCAACGTTTAAAGAGTATGATGGAAGATCGTAGAAAATTGCAAGAGCTCCACCGACAAGAACGTTGTTCTTAAAATTTGAATGAATGAATGAATGGGTGTTGAAATTATCATACATAATTGAGAATTAAACTCCCCAAATGATACGTTCACAAGAACTTTCCTGGCCTTTCAAGCATAAATGCTAAAATATAAACTTGGTAGTAAAGTACCAAGTTTATATTTTAGGTACATATAGGATTTTAATAAAATACCAGTAAACAATTATAATTGTGACCATAGAATAGAGATGATGCATGCGATTAAAGAATAACTCTTATCTGTAGATCTGATAGTAATAGATCTGTTATTAATTTATTATATGATTTTTTTATTTTTAGGATTAATTCTTAATTAACCATAAAAATAAAAAAATAATAACATTATTGGCCATACATACAACCACGTAAATTGTCTACAAAAATTTTGTTGTATATATATGTTGTATTTCTTCTAATATTATTTTCAACTTACAGTTTATGAGATTTAAAGTATTCACAGTATAATATTATTACTATATTCGTCTAATATTATATTATTACTGTGTTCTTCGATTTTAAAAGGAACTTTCTGTAGTGGTATATATTTATTATAAAATTGAAATAAAACGACGTTATAAATGTAAACGACTATTTATTATGAGAATTGAATGACATTATTACATTTGAACATCGACATATATATGAAAATACTAAGAAGAACGACAGGTTGGTACAAAATAATTACAAGAAATATATTCTATACAGATTGTAATGGAAACCGTTATGTATAAAATCTTGATTATGGTTGCAATGGAATCATAAATAAGAATAATAAGTATATTTTCATAGAAGTTACATAGTAATTACACTGATAATTTACCAATTAGTTTCTATTCAACCCTGTATAATAACAAAATAAATTGTTATTTACTTTATTTTCTTTTAATTATCGCAGCATATGTAGGTCAGAAAAGATTACATTACCGATACAAATTCTCATATTATATATTATGGCTAAAGTTGGTAGATATAAAAATAATTTTTCAATATCATGTCAAACCTCACACTCAAGACCATTGCAGATTCAGAATCACTGAATTGTAAAATTGTAGAATTGTTCATATCGTGTTCATAACTTTGATTGTCGCTGTCATAGAAACTGCTTCTATATCCGTAACAATATGCTTAACTCACTTTATCATATAAACAATTATCATACATACATACATAATATACATATGTTGATATTTTTTCAATAGATAATTTGAATTTTGTTAGTCATTAATCGAAAATTATAAAGAAGAATTTGAAGTAATATGTTATAGAACACTACACAGCTTTAATGTTTTGAATACATCTAAGGAATGTATATTTAAATTTTACATACGTATAGCACAGAGTAATAATTAAGACTGCAGGAAAGAGTTCTTTACACTGTGCCCGTAGGCATATAAAATCTGAATAATGTAAAAATAAACATCAGTCAAGTAAAAATCTAGATTAAGATTATATTTATTATTTTTAGTACATACATATATAGTAGCTATATTATTTTAAGTTCATAATAGTAAACGAATTTATAGATTGATTTTAAATATTTACATCAATTATATACACTTACATTAAATATAAATTACGTTAACAATAATAGTATATTAATAATTTCAGTATAAATCTAAACTTTTCGAGATCCCTGTACTAAATTTTAAAGTCAAAATTAAACATAATTTTCACTATTGAAATATTTAGATTATTATTTATTAATAAAATTTGATTTTTATTATTTCTGAAATTAATGATCTTACAGTAGTAATAATTACATTTATGTCATTTAAATTATGTGCATTTGTTGACTACCAGTAAATTACATATATTTAATTTATTTATCCATTTCACAATTAAAAGCGATGTTACCGAATATAAAAATAATTTTTAAGTATGTCTTTTAGTTATTAGTCCAATGACATTCAACTTGTAAGTCTATCTGTTGATACATTTCTCGTCAACGTCACCTGTTAGGAAATCGTTGGGGTCCCTGATTGTCATTATGGTGACTCCATCTGTGCTGTTCCTTGATATGATATTACCCTTCTTTTTAGTGCTTCCATAGTCGTAGTTTGATATCACCACGCTTTCTGTTGGGTTCCTGTAAACTTTCATAATATTTACTAAAGAAGATGATTAAGTTTAAAGGAATTAAGGGGAAGTAATGCTTGTTTGCCACAATCGTAGTATATAAAAAAAAAACAATTATCATGTACAAACTAATCTTAGAATTCCTCCTTCAAATTATTTAATTGAGTATAAATTAATCGTTGTAGTTCTCCGGAACAAGCGCTGACACCTGATGTGAATTTGTAAAAGTTGACGAAAGAAGAAGAATAAAATACAAACTATTTAAAAAACTACTACTTTTTAAATTGGTTGTATGTGAGTGTTGTGACCATGTCAATATTTAGTACTATCTGTCTGCTTAAAAATGTTATATTAATGTGTTGCTCTTAAAAAACAGAAATACATATTTTTAAATTGATATGGTAAAATTATATTTATATTATCATTTATGTAGTAATATACTTTGTCATAAGTTATTAAATATCATTATTAAACAGAAAATCGACAAGATACATAAATAAAAAATCAATCAACGACCAACCTCTCGTGTGTCCTGGTTCTCGCTTACATAATGAGTAATTGCAAACAGATTGCGTCCCGGACACTTTCCACTGAACAAATTTGTTTTCTTAATGAAAAAGTCACATCTCCTAATTGTGCATCTTGCGGGAGAGAGACGAGTAAAATTTTTAATGGAAAGTAATCGTGATTCTTTTAATAGAAACTGAAATTATATAATCTCTTATATTGAATGGACGTAGGTCTATTTTGAAACGCAATAATGAATTCAGTTTAATTGTTATATTATATATTTTTACTGTAATATGTCTTCTATCTAATTCTAATATATATTGTAAATGTGAATGTTTGTTAGTTTGTTACTCTTTAACCAAAGTACTGAGTAGATCAATCGAATCAATGAAATTTGGGACATAAATTAATCACAGCCTAGTTTAACACGTGGAATTATTTTTACATGGACTCTTCAAAGCAGCACCATAATACATAGCTAGTATAGATTAGGTTTAAATACCATCTATTAGAATAAGCAATTACCAATATAATAAAGAAAGAAGAAAATATCGGAAAGTGTATTTTAAATATAATGCTATAGGATTGAATATCTGATTGTCTTTTCCTACATATTAATACTGTACCTGTTGCATCGGTGTCGATGGGTGCTTCTAAATGACGTCTCGCAAATTGCAGTCCTGGAGAGTCGAGAACTACATGTAGGGTGGAGAGTGCCTCTACGACAGCACAAGTAGCGATTGAAGTGCTGTCGAAAGACTCCACTTACACAGTACAGGGCCACAGGGTTGACGCAAGAATTCAGGAAACTAGAAAAAAAAAACTATGTAGATTACTGGAAATATTCCACTATAAGCTTAAGCACTCTTGTTGAGCACGAAACGAATCTAGTAGTATTTAAAACATATAAGTATTATTTTATTTATTTTAAATAACAATATTAATCATAGAAGTAACCAGACAACATTGGGGTGAACAGTAATCTACAAATGCGGTACTTAGTAAATTAAATTACTGTACATTAAAAGTTGAATACTATTCAAAATATACAATTTGCTTAAATTATTTTGGTTGCTAAAGTAATAATGATGAGAATCAAAGAGTATTCGAATTACTCTTCTCTTAATCATTACTGGAGACCCATCTACATTTTCTAATTTTCTGCCCAATAGCGCTAACGCGTATTCTTGACTCTCGAGAATTTATATATCTATCTGAAGATCTCTATTCTTAGAAATAACATTAAAGGCGCAAACTATTACTTTCAATTAACAGAAATTGAATTTGGAATCCAATGTTTTCGTCTTTATTATAGCATTTTCGTTTAGGCGCTCAATTACTGCCGATCTGATAAGTCTAGACTGAATAGGTTTCATTCCATTACTACTTCGCAATAGGAAATCTGTTAATTAAAAAAAAAAGTATGTTTCTTATTTGGCCATAGAAAGATTCTGTCTTAATTTCAACAAAGTAAACAGTATCAGAGAAGATATAATGTTTTACATCTTTACGTAATCTGTACATTTCAGATTAAATAATTGTCTTTAATTAATTTAAAAGCTGTCTTTTAAATAAATAGATAAACCATTTAATTACACCAGTCAGGATATTGATTAATTGAAATTGCTTTTTCTCATTAACAAAAACTTAAAGATGTCGATTAACTTCTAGTAAATATTTTCATTTACTCTATCCTTTCGTCCTTTACTGAGAATCGGGCAATGACAGTCATTTTCCAGTTAATGAACTGTTACCAAATTCTTACCAAGTTTATTTACGTCCTTTGATGAATAGATTTCAAAATGAAGAGGACTCTTATAAATATTTATGGACGTAGGTACTCAACTTTGTAATCAGTAGAATTGTTTAATCTTTTAACGGAAAAGGATTTTCCCATAAACTTGGAGGATTCTTTTGTCCAAAACTTAACAAAAGTACACAGTACAAGCAGCACGATTATGGAACTGCCTCCCTCTGGACATTAAAATATCAGCCTCATTGAATTCTTTGAAAGTCTTAAAAGGCTATTGTCCTGTATGTAGACGGAGAGCTGTGGACTAGTGATTTAACACCCCGAATATGACGCCAAGTTCGTAAATACGAATTCGTCACCAAACTTTGTATTTTTCTGGTTGACTCTCTGATGAGGGAAACAGCTATAATAAATTATACCAATCCGGAAATAGCAGTAGGCTTTTAGCTGAGTTGGATTCAAATATACTACTACTATGTATATACTCATGGAAATTTGGCTCATCGCAAGTGTCCATCAAATCGTCGATAATTGAGAATGCCTCAATAATTTTAAGGGAATAATTTCCCTTAGGGAAAATAAACATGGAATTGTATTTAAAACGAACTAAATAAGTTTATAGGTTTGTTAACTTATTCCTACTTACCTATTTGTATATAGATATTTTAGAGAGATAGATTTGAAGTACTTTTATATTCAACATAATCATTCAAAATTATTTTAATTCAAGACAAGTAATTATCAAGATTGAAATCCCAGATGGGGCTGTTCAAGGTATTGACGAAAGACGTTCTAAAGGCGGTACCAAACTAAGCTTCAAATACGTAAATACCTGAAAATCTAAATACGCCGCACGGATATTTGAGCATCTTCTAACTTTGAATAAATATTTGACGTCCTGAATACATTTTTAAAAGCATATACACAATGTGCTACCAATATTGGACTTTTGGAATTGTACAAAGTACTACATTTGGTTCTCTATTTGCACCAATATTCCAATATTGAGTAACTGACTTCAGTTTGCACGAATATGTATTTTAAAGGTTATTTATATATTTTTTCAAACCTTTGGCTATATCTGATGCTGTGGAAAAACGCATTATACACATTACTTAACGGAACATTAACCATGATTATCTCACAAATTAGATCGTCACAATCACAAGAGACTGGCAGTAAATGTTTCCATAAACACATCTGTAAAAAGGTATTTATAAAATTATAAAAAAAATACAAACCTAAGACAAAATCCCATTATTCTCAAAGCATGGGTCCAATCATTGTAGTCCGTTTGGGCAGTCGGCGATAGGTGGTACCACATTTCGAAAGCGTGGTAAGGCAAGAAACATACGAAGAATACTGCAACAAATTTAAATTTAAGATCATATACACGGCCTAATTAATAAGAGGATCTAACTTATTTATATCATCTGTTCCTATTATATCGTCGTTATGATGATTATATTTGTAAACAATACGGCTATCATGCTAGTTCTATTAATAAAAAAAATAGAATGTTATATTGACGTTAGGCCTCTGAAGACTAAGCTGTTAAGAAATGTTTATAAAAGTTGTATAATTATGTTTAAGCACTTATTTATAGATATAATCATGTAATTCACCATTTTTGGTCATTGTGAATATTGGCGGTAATATTTTTTTTATAAGCATAATTTCTGACGGCCTTTCACCTGATGTTAATACACACCTAATTAGTAACCAGCAAATAAATAGATACTTACCAATTACGAAAATTAGAACCATACAAGCGACTGATTTTCTAGCTTTTGCTTGAGCCTCGCCTTGCCCTCCATGGAAAGCGCCAGGCATTTCCCTGGTACTGGCTAGCAATCGTTGTGCCATTAGAGTGTAGAAAAATGCAATCACTAGAAGTGGTAGGCCGTAGTATATGATAGCTTTCGCTAGCGCCATCCATCTACAAAAAAACGTAACAATATTTATTGTACTGTAGACATGCATTATCAATCAAATTAAAAATCAAAGTATCACCGATCCAATTATTTTCCAAAAGATAAAAATTACTGCAATAATAATACTCCATTTCTATAGGAAATTAGTAGTGATCACTTATACGTCTTTCTTCTATGCGTACTTACAAAAATATTTCAGTAGAAGTAGTTAGTAGGCTATTACGGAATTCATGACATACTTATTGAAATGCATTAGGATTAAAGATTGATTAAATACAGGCTAAAATAATAAAGAAATAGGAAACTAAATAAAACTATAAATATACATATATTTGTTATTAATATACTTATTTTAATCTGTGGCTGTTAAACATGTTTAGGAACCCGCTTATTTCCTTAAACCCTTAATCAAGAGATTAAATAACTTTCTAACACTCTGACTGAATAAATACTTCTAAAACTCCGAATGGCCAGACAAAATACACAGTAAATTCTATATAAATACGTAATGGAAGCTAAAATGAGATTCAAATCTCGAAGCGAGCTGTGAATACAAGGTTGTCAAAACATCACTTTTTTCTTTTTCACTACATCAGAGTAAAATGTAGATATTATATTCCCGCAGGCGTTATCATAAACAGTAGGTGAATTAACATAATGCCTTTTGTAACCACAATCAAATATTGGCCTTTGTAGCTTGGAACAATTGCTGACTAAGTTCATGAATAATACATTTTAACTTCAGGTGTTTACATATGGTTTAGGAATAAGAAATAAATCGATCATTTTTATTTTTATATAGGACTTAGTAGCAAACAAGCTAACGTTTGATTTGATGGAAAGTGAAATCCGTTGCCTAATATATATTTTTTTCTAAAATATATGTCTCTAAAAAGTAACAAAGAAAGACCAAAAGAAATATAAAGAGAAATAACTACTTTTTGGTCTTTCATTACAGTAATTATGTAGTACATCATTTACTTATCAATTAATTATAACGATTACTTACATTTGTGTAACAAGTGCTTCATCTCATAAGGGACTCACTTTTATCAATAAAAACTTTATTTTTTAAATAATGTGTTCCCTTTTATGTAAACAAGGAAAGCGCATTTTCATCACGTTGATTTTTATGGTCTTTTTTATGAGACTAAATAATTAATATATATTTTTACATTTCTTGCGCGAGTAATGCCTAATTTAATTTAAAAAAATATATACTAATATTTCTGATATCTCTTATGGTAATAGTAACTGTAAAGTATAAAAAAGAAAATTGAATATCGGTCTATCATTTACGAAGATATCGATGCACATAAAAAACATACACAGTGATCGAACATAGAACTCCCTTAACTTTTTCAAAAGTCGGTTTAAAAAAATTTTTAGCCTGGCAGATCACTAACCTGTTGGTCGTGAGTTCCAATTTTTGGTGCCACAAAAAAACTTTATCAGTGTCAATCATAAATTCGAATGTAGTGGTAACACAAAAAACAAACTAATTTAATCTGATCATCACTGACAATAAAAATAACCGTACTTCAATTACCGTTGAAAATTGAAACTAATTTCAGCCATGAAAAAGTATAATCCATCGATTAAACTTCCATCATTATGTCAATGTCACAACTTCAATCGTTTAGATAATCTTAGATTACCTTTTTTATTTATAGCTAAATCGTGCAAATCGTTAACTCTTAGTATATTTCACTTGTGTAATAAATAAACTACTGTGTTTTTCATGATTATGGGACGGTGCACCCACCGTCGTTAAGGATATGTTGACTAACTGATGTCTAGTCTACGTATAACACTAGTACATATGAATGCACCATATTATATTAATCTAACAAAAAAGCACGAAACAATTTCTTGCTGACCCTACATTAATCCAATAAGCGGAGCTGCGTGAATTAGCTCTGATAGCTCCATCAGGCGTTTGATTTGATGTGGTCACTTTTAATTTGGATTGATATTCACTCACTATTATCGACTCACTAGTTATTATAATAAAGTTGAAAGTCGTACTTCGGGTAATGATCCCATCCAGGCGGGTATGGGGTGCAGTAAACTATTGTGATGTTGTCGTGTAGTTGTATCGTAACTGTGTTAGAGAATACGGCGGCTGGGGTTGCGAAGATAAGGGCCGCACCCCATATAAAAGTTGCACAAACTAGAGGCAGTTTGCGTAGCTGGAACAAAAATAATTACAAGGAATTAATAAAATAATAAAAACAATATTAAGAGAATGCATAAGGACTACCATAAAAGAAGCCATGAAGATACTGCGTTAATATTACTTAAACACTTTCATCCTGTAAACATCTACCCCTGGACAACAATTAAAATAATAATAATAACATTGTATTTATTATCAGGCTTCATTGCCCACTTTGTTAGTATTACAGATTTCTTATAATTAATGTTAGTACGTACAGACTATAGACACAAAATACACACACAAAAATAATAATAATACAAATAATATCAAAAATTAATATTAAATTAAGTTAAAAATTAAAGACACCTGTAACAAATCTAATTATTCAGAGAGATGGTAAATTCACTCCTGCCATTCAATAAAATACACATATAATATTTAGCGCAATTTGAGCATGTCATCACGTCGTTGACGGTTAGCAATAATCTATATGTTAGCAATAATACTCTGGCTGCGTAATTTAGTACTACAATCCTGAAGTTTTACTCCAACCGTTATATAAATGGTAGAAACGTTCTGGTATCTTCTATGTATAGATAAATAATATAACAAAGTTATTTAGCCTGCTTATACTTATGAAGATGATTAAACGCATATAGTTATTTCAAGTAAAATAGACTTACTTCGTACCTCGTGCGAAGTCATGGTGGGTCGCTAGTTTATTATAAAAATGAATTTAAAATTTTTACACTTGCAACTGTGTGCATGAACGTTACTTATGTATATCTTTAATAAAATTTGGAAAAAAATGTATGTAATTTAGCAATAGAAGAATAGAGATTAGTAATAGTAGTAAGTAGTATAGGGATTAGTAACATGGGTTGTTAAGAAATATTAATAGCCATTAGTCTAAAATTAAAAAGTGATGAGGTATATCGGAATATAGTGTAAAGACATCTAATATTCTGTATCTGTATAGTAATCTAAATAATCTCTTAGAGTTTCATATGGGCAGATACAAATAAATACGTTTCATTTCAGCTATTTATTCCATTTTAAAAATATGCAACGCACATAGAATAGTAGCACATAGAATAGAAATAATGTTTTTCACAGATAAACAAAGCAAACTAATGTTCTACAATAATAAAAGTTAAATAGTTTTTTAAGAATGCAATCTAAAACAAAAGTCTTGCCTGTTTTCCCGGATGGGATAGTCAGAAGAATTATCAATTATGTATCGGATTAATAGTATTGGCTGTTAAGAAATATCCATAGCCATTAATCTAAAATTAAAAAGCAATGAGGTATTATCAGAATATAGTGTAAAGACATCTAGACACGCGGCAGCGTGTCAAGCCGAGTTTCAAGTAAACTGGCTTGCAGCACCGTGTGTATATTTACACGAACCATTTGGAGCCACTTTTGACCCCCTCATAACTCAAAAACTCTATCACAGAAACCTGTCAAATTTGGTTCATATATTGAGACTTGCGAGATAAATATGTGTTCCAAATTTCATAAACATATCTCAAACGGTTATTTAGATATTATTGTCCAAAAATCGACATTTTTATCACTGATCAACTATAGATCAAAATTATAACCCACTTCCAGATGACCTAGGAAGTTCAAATTTGGCATGCAGATAGGTAATTAGGTGAATATAAAGAAAAAAATCTGAAACTGGTAAATTGTTATCATTTTACTACAATTTTTCACTTTAATTGATTATATTTCAACTTATACTGGACGAATACTAAAATTCTATGAAAACGTCGATAGCCACCAATTGACATTGATCCCTGGCGAAAAATTTCATCTTGTACTGGACGGAAAGTAATATTGTATGAAAACGTCACATCAGTGTCGATAACTAGCAAACTTCAAATATTGCATTGAGCGATAAACACTAGTTGCTATAATTTAGATTCTGTCTAAAATATACTCGTACTTATAACTAGGAGTATTATGTTATTTTATTATGTTATTTATTATGTTATTAACTGAGATTTGGTATTAATTATTATTTCAATATTTAGCGCACATCGATAGTGTAAAATCACTATTTTTATAAATAATTATTAAATAATAGACATTTCGGTATAGGGCGCCGCGGCGGCGCCGTGTGGGAGCGGTGCGATAAAACGTTGACGCGAACCTGTCCGAGCGAATGGCAGCCGCCCTCATATGTCTCAATGTTTTGTTTCTCGATATCTAACCTATAAGGTTGCGATTTATGCTACGAAATTTATAGCTTTCTTAAATTATACTTATATATTTGTGGTTATATTATTATTACATTATTTTAGTAAATACGTATGGTATAGACAATAGTTTAAACCAAAAATTAATAACAATTTTAGTATAGTTATAAGTAGGAATGTATAGTTAACTCGAGAATGAGAACTCATTGGTAACAAATTGTTTTCTTGAGAATTCAATAGATAACAGTCAATTTGGTACATAATCGTCTTTACGAACTATAACGTGTCAATACGAAGTTTCAGATATTAAATAATGTATATGTTGAAAGAGAACAATTCTCTTTCAACATATACATTATTACTATCTACTATACTATCCACAAATCACAAGGCCTTAGTTTTGGCAGTCCTCTTCTCAACATAGGCTCTTCCATATTTAATAAAGGGCAGGTTTACGTTGGACTCTCCAGAGTTAAAACCTTAGATGGGGTACGTCTTAACAATTTAGATCCAAGTCACGAGAGCTCTATTGTAGAGTACAACCATCTGTGGACGTTATACCGCCCCGATTTGCCCAAAAATTCCTGATACTGAATTGGCTTTGGACTTCAACATTTAAAAGTTACAAGAAAATATAGAAAATAACACAAAAAAAAGACAATTATACCCCGTAAATATACGAAAATACAGTAATTTATCAAAAATAATTTGGTATTAATTTAGTTATAAATATGTACCTAGTATAATTTATGTACAAAAAGTAATGATATCCCATCAAAAACATAAATGTGAAATGATAGCCGAGTTTAATATTATGATATATGCCTTGATTGTTGACTTCTACGACAAAAGAGATGAGATCTAAATGGGTACCAAGTTCAATGGTCTGTCCTGAAATGTATTTATAACAATATAAAATATCATTTCTTCTTATAACTTAGGATAATATACTGTAGCCTAAGGTCTAACTTGGCTAGTTTTCATATACGAAATATACTGTAGCCTTCGCAAGTTCTAAACATGTTACTTGTCGGTTCCTATTTTAATATTAATAGTAACTAGCAATCGAAAGTAATAATTGGTATATGAGAACTGGCCAAGTTAGACCTTAGGCTACAGTATATTATCCTAAGTTATAAGAAGAAATGATATTTTATATTGTTATAAATACATTTCAGGACAGACCATTGAACTTGGTACCCATTTAGATCTCATCTCTTTTGTCGTAGAAGTCAACAATCAAGGCATATATCATAATATTAAACTCGGCTATCATTTCACATTTATGTTTTTGATGGGATCTAATATTCTATAGCTGTAGTAGTACGTTGTCAAATTCTATTAGAATTCCATATGGGCTGCAGCCGTTGTAGAACGCTCGATATAAACGAATATTTTTGGTCGACGTGACGACTGTACAATGCAGTAAATAATATTTTCATAAATGACGTTATGAAGTATTGCGATGCCTGCTGTACGTGATGAAAACGTGAGCATTATCTATATTTATGAACTCATCTTAGATTTTCAAGTACATGTATCAAAAAAAAAAGAAGAAAAGTATGTCTGCGTGAATAATCAGATTTTTTATATTATGTTAACTCTTACTATCAAATGTGTTTAATTGTTTATTATTATCTGGTCTAGTATGTAGTTTTATAATAAGCAAGAATAAGAGTATAAGAATAATTACATGAAACGACAAATAATGAGTAGGCACGGTATGTGTGATTCCACATGACGAAAAGGTTAAAAAAAATGTTGTAATATTTATTTAACATTTTTGTATTCGACACGTACATATTACGGCTCACGGCGGACGTGACGAAATTATTTTCCTTGATTTCAACACGTTTTCGCTACGTTTACATTTTTTTTCGAAAACAATCCCGTCTTTTTTATATCTATGAAATCACACTGACAATATTATGGTCATATAAAAGAAAGAGTTAAAGCTGGTATAGTTATTTAATTACAAACTTTTTATTGCATCAAGCATTTTACACAAGAATTATACAGATAAGAGATATTGTACAAAAGACGGTCTCTTCCAAGCATCCTTTAGTTAGAGGAAAAATAGTAAAAGTGATAGGTGGCGTATGAATAGGATTGAAGAATATATACCTACATATAGGTAATAATATTATAGATACAGAATATTAATACAAATAAATGTTAGAAAATAACTCACATTATACTATATATACATAGATATATAAATATATAAAAACTAAAAGCAATATATACGTATATCGATATATCAATATATCAATATGTACACAAAATAATACATTAAATTTTAAATGATAAATTACAATTTCGTTTTATATTTTATACTAATTTATAAACGTCCAAGCGTGACTATATATTTATCAGTTTGTTACCATCGCACAGCTAAACGGTTGGATTGACTTTTATGAAATTTAATTTTGGTTACATTATATCACAAGAACAGACATTTCTTACAGATCATCTTAAGATGATATAGATATCTTCATCTTAAACAAACGAAGTTGCTGATACCAGCTATCTTTCTATAAAGATAATTTCTATGACCTAATTCGTCGTAAATAAAGTGTATCATCCAATATACCTATGTTTCTATAGAGTGATCGTAATTCAGGTTGAAAATGTAAGTGATGTTTTCGGTAAACAACGTCGACAAGATATGCAAATCACGCTGCCAACACGGCTAAAGTGTAATGAAATGGAGATAATTGTGTTATAAGATAGATACAAACCTACGCGACACATTGATGATACAAATAAACACGTTTCATTTTATCTATTTATTCCATTCTAAAAATAATATGCAACCTATCTCTAGAAATAGTAAAAACTGACATAGAATTGAAATAATGTTTTTCACGGATAACAAAAGAGACTATAATATCCCACAATAATGCTATTAAATTTGAATAGTCATTTTTTAAGATTCGCAATGCAGATTTAATTGATAAGAAAAACACAAATGTCAAGTTTATTTTCCCGGATAGGTTATTTAGAGCAATTGTCAATTATGGACGATACGGTAAACACAAAGTATTAGGCATGTTTTAATCCAAGGTAGTAGGGGTGAAGCCTACCTACGTATTGGTCTAGCATTCGTTGTTCAGTGTGAGGTGTCTGAAGTGATGGTTCAAATCCTGGTGAATTTGTTTTTTCGAGGTAAAATATATATGTGAACCTCCATCTCCGGAAAAGGTGCTTACATGTACACCGTGAGATCTTTTAGAGGGTAGAATTCCCACACACCACATCGTCATCCCACCAGCACGTTGCGGGTATTTGAAGATTTACCCACACGTTAAAAAAAGATGAGAAAGCTTACCGCCTTATTTCTGATTATTTTTTGTTTTGTTATCGATGTTTCGTGCACCGGAGAAAAAATAAAAATATATATATAAAGTACCTAGGCTACAACGGGCCACTGCAATGAATAGTTCCATAATTAAACCTAATATTATAGACACTTATTTAGACTACTTAGTTATATATATAGACGCTCTAATTAAGAAACAAATCCTGATAAAAGTAGAATTGATTTACACAGAATTCTGTAATACGACGTAGGTGATGTAATTTACTTCACTTCACACAGCTAAATTACTTTTATACGTTAATAAGACACAAATAAGACAAAGGAATGGATATTGTCTTAGATTCCATTCTGTAGCATTCAAATTAATTAATGAAGTTTAATAAGTATACTTAATAATTACTTGATAATTAAAATAACGGATCCAATAAAACATATATAATTTAAATTATTCATATGATCATATTCAAACAGTAAATCTTGTCTTAATATAAAGGATCTTGATATTATCATTAAATTATAACTTAATTTTCACTCCAAGTAATAATAATGTAACGTTAAACCAATTATAACTAATCATTTATTCCGAAATTTTTAATTAGTAGTATTACTACTTAGTGGATTTATCTTTTTATATTTATTATATTTTTTTGATATATTATTCTTATTTTGATGTTCAAGAAAACAAATGACAATCACAATGGGGAACTGCAGAAATGCTATCCGCCTAGCCGTCGCCTTTCTGACGTGGGTCTATGGTAGGTGATAAGTACACACTGCATTATGTTTTAGTTTTATTTAAATACAATTTATATAACACAGTACACAGTGACTTCATTTAATCTATTTTTCAACGATACACAATATAATATAATCGCTACAAAATGTTCAAATTTGATTCGCTTTTTAGTTGAACCTATAAGCTATTTTTGTTCTCATTCACTGTAATTGAGTTAAGATTATTGTTAGATATTTTTTTCTTTCCAATTAATATTCAAATTCAATATATGTATTTGTATTTAAAATTGATAATATACTATTTAAAGTATATTACCAATTATATACCAATCCTAACTATTACAAATTCATGAGCGAATTGATATATTTTCATACTTTACCTAATATATTTGGTTTATCTATAGTATTTAGGATGAAGGCAAGTTTCTCACAGATGCAAAAACTAATAATTTTCTTATTTCCAAGTTTTTTTTTATTATTTGTAGGCTTATATACCTTTACAACTGTCTCTGTATAATCTAATTAAATATATGTATGTGTGTGAATTTTCTTGCCGATGAAACTCTACATGTGCACAATGCGAAAAATTTCGAAACATATTAGTCCATTAGGATTGACCATATTTGTTTGCTTTAATTAGTTCTTTTTGGTAACTTAATGGTCCGTAATCTTCATGTACACTTTATAGTATAACTAGTAGACTGCTTTTGTTATATAACTAGTAATAACTAGTAGACTGCTCGTGAGTATAAACTAAAAACAGAACACGTTTTCCAGTCTGGCTTGTTTTCATATATCCAGGTCCAAGATCACATTTAAAGATCAAGGTATAAATATCTCTATTACTCCTGATAAATAACTTATATTATATGTAGCTATAGTATCTGTCGTTTGTGCACAAATATTTTTAATTCAACAACTACGCCAGTGAACTTCATTATCTATACAAATTTTATAAAGAAACAGAGAGAGATAGCGAATATTTTTGTCAGAATATAAAACCACCTGAACCACTATCTTCCTTGAGCATTTGGATCCAAATCCCTCTTAAATTCTTATACTACTGTCTGTAACTACTTACTGTAAAGTAGAAATATACTATAAATATAGTGTATTTCTATCTGAAGTACTTACTATATATATTATGGTAATATACACAATACTGGCAAAGTTATGGGCAGTTGAGTGAAGTCAAGTACGCACTACTTGACTAATAATTTAAAGTCTATTAATTAATAAAAACGATCTTATATCGCAGAACATCAAACAGATGTTAAAGTTCACCAAGAACATCGAAAGAAGTTTTAATTGTTATATTTACTTACTAATTACTTACAAACAATTGATTAATTAAAATATAATGAAAATGATCTTCAGGGGCATAAGTGTTACAAGTAACTTACGTTTGGTTTTGTTCTTATTATAAAATATTTCTTATTATTAAATAAAATTTATAAAATTCTTATAATTTTATTCGTTATTTAATTATTCGTACTAAGATTCTTAAAACGCAAGTGTTAGTCTGTCTGTATGCATGTTAGTTTTTATTTCACAACTAAACACTTTGTATTGTATTTGGATTGGATCACGAAACCGAACATATAACATATACTAATTTTTATTAAAAAAAACATTCAAAGGTATAGTATTATTATTTATACATTCAAACATAAAAAACAGTGATAATTTACCTGTAGCTTCCTAAATGGATTTACAATAGCGCAATATCTCTCTGCCGATAGCGCCGTCAGAGTGAAAACGGATACTCCGATGCTAACATCTTTTGCAGCTTCAGAAATTCTGCAGATTAGTTCGCCCCACGGCCATGATTCTAATGTGTAAATGATGGAGACGAATGGAACACAGATGAGAATGACCAGCAGGTCTGCTAACGCTAATGAAAATATGTATCTGTAACAAAAATAAACATTTGTTACACATAGAATTATGGGATATTAACCTTTTTGACTTGGTTGACTTAAAGTTGTCATCTCCGTGGAATTTAAAGATGAGTACACCAAATTCAACAACATCGGTCACTAACTGTACGGATACCGTGTATGCAGTCTAGCGACCTTTTATTAGACGGTCAAATGACGGTAGTTCTACAAACTGTCGATACTGATAAATGCGTTATTTGTCATAAAATTTACGCAGCATAATTATTCCAAATATGCGTCAATAATGTGAATCAAGGTTCAAACTTTATTAGACAGATACACATTAATTTAGATTCCTTTGAAAGGAAAATAAATATTAGGTATATGTCACTCATAAAACAAACCTTTATAAATATACAAGTGACATTAACTTTTAGAAAAGTATATATAAAATTGGAAAATATATTTTTTATATCATCCCAAAATAATTACAATCGGTTGTTATAACCAGATGCTGATTTTCAGTTAAATAAAATCAAAGAGTCATAGGCATGTACGTCCTGTTTTTACATTCGGGCCGCTGGCACATTTCGTATTTTTAAATATTTATAATTTTATACTCATATTCTTTGTTACCACCACCAACAGGGATGAATAGAAAGGAAAAACATATTATGCCAACCCCAAATAAATGAGATAAGGAACAAGCTGATGATGATGATTCTTTGTTTCTGTGGTTTTACTATGCATTCGTATTCTTGACCGCCCATTGATTTAGCTGGTTGATACTATTATTTTTTTTTATTATTTCTTATTTATAATACAATATTCTTATAAGTCTATATTTACGTCTTTAATTACAACCATCGTTGGTAGGCCCCAACGCTGCATATACTGTCCCACACAAGGTAATTATTTTAAAACAAAGAGCCTACTTACGTATTAGGAGCATTTCTCATGCCCCTATGCCGTACGTAGACAATAACCAGAGTGCCATTACCGAGGACGCCGACTATAAAGATGATTGCGAAAAGCACTGGTACCAAGTACGTTTCTAATCTGTCTTCATACGGAGTGTACTCGTTGTCAGTTACATTTTCTAATAGTTGGAAACTACTATTCTCCTGCGTGTACATTGCTATTACCTGAAACAAAAGAAATACTTTGTAACAAACAAAAATACTAGTACAAAACTTCGTCTTATTACAAAACGGTAATATGTATAGATAACATAAAAATTATACCCAGTATTGTCTATGAACAAATAGTCATTAGTAGTAATGAATTTTTTTACAAAGAACACACAATGCACGAAAAATGTGAATTGCCTATTATCTATATTAAACCTGAAATATCCCAAAGTTAGCATTATGAATAGGAGTAGTTATTTTAAACTTTATTTATGTTTATATTATACCAGTTTACTAAAGCGTGATTAGTTTATAGATTTCTGACTGTTGTGCAACTCAAGCAAATCAAATAGCATTCTATGGTCACTATTAAAGTTCATTTGCTATATTTTATTACAATATTCAAAGTACAATTGTTCTGCAATAAAATAGTATATACATATCATAAATATTTATTTAGAATTAATATATAAATATTCAAAGACACAAACTACGCTATTATAAAATGTTCTCATCATATAATTTTATACCACCTGTACAAATTTACAATACAAATATCTAACCCTTATGGGAACGCTTTTCCAAGAATGATAAAACACATGTCTCTCAATTTTGTAATAAAGATCTGAATACAAAGTTTCAAGTGAACTTTCAGTCCAATATTAACAGAAATTCATATACACATACAAACTTTCAATTACTTTGAAAGGGGACTTTCCCTGAGGGGGATTAATTTTCAAAAACCCCTCCTCCGATATTGTCCTGTATACAAATAAATCTATTCCGCAAATGTTGTTTATCTGTTCATTCATTTCAGTCAATCTTGATATTGTGGTTATTTTATGTAGTGCGGTTTCATTATATTTCAGTTCTCTGGAATAGCAATCCTTAACGGATATAAAAGAGTTCAAATGACGACGTGATGCTCATGGTTTTGTCTAAAAACAAATAAATAATAAATAACCCTGGACAATTAACACAGCGCCATCAAATCCCACGATAAGCGGAGCTTGTGTTATGGTTATTAGACAACTGATATAAATACTAAGATATATATATTTTTCTAAATACATACATAATATTCATAGATGACACCCAGACCGATTCTAACAATCATACACATGAATACAAATATTTGTACCAAGTGACGAACCCGCAAATAACGGAAGTAAAGCGGTGTGCTAAACCGCTAAACCATCGAAACCGTCAAAATTTAACTGTTTCTAAGTAGCTTCTAGTTTATATATATTTATTAATGACTAAACTGCTGAACAATCATAATTATACAATCGTTAAAAGACGGCGGAATTAATCCTAGCTGATACGCAATAATTTAATATTAATATCCTAGACGAGTATGTCTATTTAATTTTCATCACTTTTCTTAATTAAAGTATCTATATTAAACATATTAAAAGTAGAAATAGAAAAGCAGTTTCTGAAAATAACTTCACAGGATTCCTTAAGGATAATGTTAAGAAGGAATAAATTTAAAATATAATAAGCATACAAATTGTATAAATGTTAAGTATTCTCCAACTTTCCCTTTTATTGCCTATACTTTATTAAATAAAGTTTTTAATATACAACTCCAAGGAGTAAGCATGGTTTTATATTAAAAATGATTATAATAAGTATCTGCAATTTGAAATGAAACATTTTCTTTGTAGAATGATTATGAATGATTTTCTGCGACGTAGAACGTGATTTAATCAGGCTTTAAAGTTATTTTTGTTTGAGTGAAGTAAAACAATGAAATTATGATTATATGAAACTGATGACAAAATTACAAAATAAGATCTTTTTATCAAATCAAAATTATGTTAAAAATAAAAGGAAGCAAAGAATGGCATGAATATAAATGGATAAGATTTTTTTGTTAATCTGTTGAACACAAAAATACCATGTCGAATTAAATTTTATTCGTAGGTGACGGAAAAGCGTGAAAACAAACTATAGTAATTAAGAGACTTTTTGTTTTCAAATTGCCGTGAAAATATGTACGTTTTCATTTCATTTAGTTACAGAGATTAACAATGTAACATACGTTGTTTTACGTTTAACCGACTTTAGACATAGAAATCTCCCGTATCGAGAAACTTCTTTAATTGAAATTATAAAGAACGGAGTCATATCATAATAGTTTTCAGAAAACATTACGGGTACAATGTCCGTCATAATATAATTTGTAACATCTATTACCCGAAAGGTGTGCCACAGACTTAGAAAACTGTATTTCTTCAACGTCCAGAATGAACTATAGCCCTATCGTCGTAAACATTTTATCCAACATCATCCAATCGCCCTTCCATTACTCGCATAAGTTTCGCCATTTGTCAATGTAACAGTAAGTGTAGAAGAAATTTATCGCAGGCGAAATAAACCTATGATCCCGTACTTTGTGCACCAATACGCCGTAATATGTTTAAGTAATAAAAATAAAACCGGCGAATTGCGAGCACGACTTGCCGAGGGTTCCGAACATAAGAATAATAATTTATTTGCAAGCGTACATGGTATAAAAAAATCATAGAATGCATACATATAATGAACAGTCGTGAGATTTTGATAAATAATTGCAAATGCATATTACACAAAAAACTCAAAACATAGAAGACCAATTTTAAAATTATGTACTATATTTTCAGCATATAGCCATATATCATTGACAGACGTGTTGGCAGACATAGGCGTATGGTCCACCACAGGGAGTTCCACCTCACCTTTTTGTAGTTGAACCCTAAAAATATGATCCGCTGGCAACATGTGCAGGAAAATCCATCAATATGAATTTATGATGACGAATGGGCATGCTTTATTTACAGCTTCTGTATAACAGCCATCCGGAAAAGTGAAAGTCGGTACTAAAAATTAAACTTTACGCTTATGCATATTATTATATGCTACAACAATTTCAAAAACACTACATGATATACTATAATACTTAATATAGAACTTTATCCCGTTTACTATACTTCTTAAGATACTAGTGGCCTGCCTGCTCATAATTTTCAGAATTTTGTATGTATTATATGATTATATTAGGTAACAAAATTCTGTCGTCATATAAAAACTTACGTCGCTGTGAAATAATATACTTCAGAAACACAATTTCTCAAATCGGGCCGTTAGTTCCGATGTTTACTTTTCTCAAAACAATATCAGCTCTTATTATATAAAAATATAAGTAATGTAATTTTTTTCTCTCTCCAGACTCCACATGTCATTATCGTGGTGGTCGTAATTGATAAAAGTTAATATATTTATACTGAGATTGAAAACAGTTCAGGAAATGTTTATGAACAAGAACAACTTACATACTTCAATACTACTATCTAATGTACCTACATGACGAAATTAGAAGCATATGCTGTCCATATACTTTTTTTTTTGTATCTTTTCTGTGCAAAGCCGCGAATTCGACTTTAAACACAATTATAAATCAATTATAAAACTCCTACATAACAAATTGTTCATTTATTTGTTTTAAAAACTGTACAGTATTCGCGGAAACCATTTCGTAATTGAAAGGGTTTAGACCTTTGTCATTTGGCTCCGAAAGCTTCGTAAATTAATCTTTATTTAATTATAAGGGATTGAAACATCTTCCACAATTTACCACTAATATAGGCACCCACATTATTTTATGAGGTCTGATATTTTGTTTAATGTAAAATCTATACTTAGATTTAGTACTTTAGCATAAAAAATAGTTATTTTTAGATATGTATATAACTTAGCTTACGTTAGCTTAGCAGCGCACGTTTTGTCAGACAGGCAGGCAGTCAGTCAGTCAGGCAGCAGTTTATCAGAAAAGTATATACGAGTATATGCTAAATACGTAACATACGAATACAATAATATTAGTTAGACTAGATAGCACATACGAGACCGAATCAAAAACGGTTGGTCCTTTTTTTAAATATATTCTACATTTAATTTATAAAAAATGACCAGGCTATTTGTTCATTCATAATTTAAAAGCCGCACTCTTGTCGGTGGAGCTCTTGCCATTTTGGCTATTTGTATTATGCAAAAATTTAATTCGCAAGGTTTCTTTTTTAACTTTCATGTTTAGTACACAATACAATTTTATAGTTAAAGAGGAATTTAAAATCTAATTTTAAAATTTGACAGCGTCGTGGCCTATTCCGTACTTATACAATAATCGACTAAAGCTCGTGAACTGGAATCTGCGCGATGTTAAAATATCATGTATAAATTTATAAACTTTTAAGTGCTTGATGATGGAATTGCCGTTAACAAATTAAAAATCAGAGTTAGCGTTAATCTCGCCCCTGCTTATCCATTATGCCTACATTTTACTTGGCCATATGCGTATATGACCAAGTGAATTATAGGCATGTTTTCAGTACGACTTGTCGTCCACAGTATCTATTATCTTATAATAATAAATATTTAAAAAAACCTGTACAAGAACCATAACTAAGAAAATGTAAAAATGTCAATTTATAAGACAATAAATCGTAACAAAGTTATTCTTAAGAACCAAACATATTTTTATTGCCGCTGTCTCAGTAAGCCCTAATTACTATTATATTTTAGCCAGTACACATTCTTAATGATCAGCTCCAGGGAGTTCCTGACTTACTACCATCTCTGCTTAGGAAGAGGGGTTTATCGATAATGGGGACGAGTAGCTCCATTCCTATCAACCTTTTAGAAGAAATATTCGTAATGATCGTGACATTCGTACAAAAACACTTGCGTGGTTTAGAAGTAAACGAAGAAATACACACAAAAGCGGCGCCTTTAAATCACCTATTTATATCTAGAAATAGATATTTCAACCAACATGTTGTCAGCATTTTTTTATGGTATACATCCTTTAACTACTCCCGGAAATCACTACTCCTAATAGATACCCACATAGGTTTTATTTTGAAAATAAGTAAAAAAATTTCTCACTAATAAATTACTTAACATAGAAAGATAACATTTAATAGTAATTCGTCTTGTAGTTAACTTATTAGTGGTGAATTTTTATGTTGTCC